GGCTCCTCCATCGTCCCATGTCCAGCTGTGCTCACTGACACCTCCCTGATCAACTCCTCAAAGCCACCTCTTCATCCTCCTGCACCCACTCTCCTCCTGCTGGCAAGCAACCTGTCCTATCTCCCTTGTGACTTCAGCTGAAAACCTCACATTCATTTCCCTCTCTACCTCTCTCCCCCTTCTCAAATCTGCCTCCAAGTCCTGTTTTTATGATCCACATGTCTTTTGAATCCAATGTTTTGTCCATCTGCTAACCTCCATCCTAAGGTATCTCTGCTCACAGCAGCCCCCCCAAATCTCCCCAGCATGACATGAATTTACCTTTCTGTTTACCCTTCTGTCCATCATCTCCCATGATGACTCCTTCAGTCCAGTTGGGCTGATGGAACCCCCCACCCCAATTATATAATCCCTCCCTAAAGAGGCTGTGTGCTTTCCTGTGGGGGCCTTCACACACAGTATTGTCTTTCCTGCAGGGTACTGGCCACCCCCACCCTCCCCATCAGCTCTTTCTCTCCTCTGTGCTCCAGCAACCAGGACAGTGCCCTATAAGGGCACTCCGACTGCAGGGATGCATTGCCACACCCTCTTCTTGGTAATGGGCAAGAGGAGAGCAGGGTCTAGGTGATAGTCCTCCCTCTCTCACAGCAACCTACTTTGGTGCCTAATAAATATTTAAAGAAGGAAGAGAGGAGAAAAGAAGGAAATAAAATGAAAACAACTATGTTCAATGGCTCTATTGATCAATTTCTTACCTCCAAACCTCATTTAGCTTTTTCTGATGCCCATGGAATGAAAGTCAATCTTCAGAGGAGAAACTGATGAAACTCAGAGCAGACTTAGCAGCAAACCAGGATGAATGCTCATTCTGTCTGTGGGTGTTGGTGGATGGCTGATCTAACCTCTCCAATTTCCCTATCCTGACATAGAGAATCATAAGCTCATCTTTACAGACTGCCCTAATGACTGACCAGGGGGATAAAATGTCACACATTCTGACAACTAAACCAGGCATGCAGTTTGCATTCCACAAATGTTAACTTTGGCCAAATCTTTTGCTGAACTGGGCTCCTCGAACTCTGAGTCAATCTCTGCCCTGGTGGAACTGGTAATCTAGTTAGGGTGACAAGTGTGACAGTTGTCTGGTATGACAATAAAATAATTCAGTGATTTTCTTAAACAAATGCATCAGAATGTAGGCAACACCATTGCCATGTTTGTTCACACACTCGATATTTAGTTGGCCTACAGACTTCTCCAGTATTGCTGCAAAGTCCTTGAAATGATTTGGATTTTTATCTGAATATAGAAAGCAGCATCAGATGTGTGCTGCGGTATAGTAACACATGGAATGCCACAGGGCTTTGCCTCAGATAGTAATGCAAAGTTCTTATAGAGGCTGCCTGGACCATATCTCTGGAGATGACCTGAGAGACTCTGGAAGAAATCACAATTTTGGCAAAGGGAACCCAGCTCCCTTGCCCCACTGGGTCAGGTGCTCAGAAAAATTTCCCAATTAGCTAAGGTATTCTTGAAACGTGGAGTGTCAGATTCTGTCTGGCAAGAACAGGCCAGCACCTGGGGGGGCCCTTGGAAGCTGATTGGCTCCATGACTAGCACAGGGCTGGACATTGCAAGACTGAAGATTCCCCTTGCTGGCTGAACAGAAAGCACAGTCGGACAATGTTCTCAGGAAAGCCATCATTCCATGAAGGGCCGCTGGAATCACTATGGCAGGCAGGGCCATTTGCTATGTTAGTCCAGGCCTACATGTCACAGAGCTCTTTGAAGGCATACAAAAATGTTGAAAAAAAATGTGTTGGCCTCAATATTCAAAAGCTTCAAGGCAGAATTCCAGAAGCAAAACTATAAAAACTTTAAAATTTTCCATAAGTGTATTGTATCTAAACTATATTTGTATATTTTACTATTTGATATAGTGAGGGATGGGAATACTCCAAAAAATAAGAGAACATAGGGCTTTTATGGATCCTAAGATGACCAGAGCAGGTAGACAGGCATCAACCTACATATTTACTAGAATCATAAAATGTTCCGCTTAACTTTTATTCTCCTCAGTTATTAACCCCCAGAAAAACCAACTGGCAACAGAAGCGGAGAAGTGAGAGGATAATGCAAAGAGCAGAGAGCGCTGCCCTGTTTGCAGTGGCAGGAATGACAGTATCACAAGTCCTCTGGTTTCTTTCCACAGTGTGCCGTCCAGGGCCCCAGACTCCCTGCAGGATTCTGGGAGGTTTTTAATTGTCCAAAGATTTATCGTAGTGGTAAGAAGAAGTGACACTGAGACATATAAACTGGCATTTTGGGTTGACAAATGATAGGCAGCACACTTGAATCTGTTAGACATAAACCTAAATTCGGAAATGGGTGAAAGAGAAATACAATAAAAGTGTTGTGTAGTTCCCAGGGTAGTCTTGCGGTATTGTTCTTTTTTTGTTGTTGGCTCTATTTTGGTCAAGAAACGGCAGCCACAAGTATTTGATTTCTACCAGAGAGGTGCTGGCGCTGCAATGTCAGGCTTGGACATTCTCCTCTAAGTACATGAGATGGCTCCACAAAGAGATGAGAAAGAGCAGTGTACGGGGGAGCGTTTTCTACAGTCAGTGAAGAAGTGGCTTTTACACATCAACACACCTGCATTTGCTGGAGCCACTGTTCAATGTCCAGTTCCTCTTACAATTCCTCTCACTTCCAGCCCATCTTACTTAATGGAGAGTCATGCAACTGTTAAGGACTCATACCCCAAATCTATGAGCTCTTTCTTGAGAGTAAACTTTGAGCTTTATTTGCCCATTATCTGTTATTTTGTTTATTGAAACAAAATCTCATCTCACTTCCCTTTATCTTATCCGACCCACCCATCCACCCATCCATCCTTCTCATAGTTATCCTATCTGACCAGCTCATCAAACAAGGTTGCCTCATGTTTCTTTGCCATTACTGGATCTATGTCTGGAGAGTTGGTCCATTCAACAAACATTGGCTCAGAATCTGTGACGTACCAAGTACTGTGCTAGGCTATTGGAATTTGGCGATCAGCAAGGCCAATGTCAAGTCTACCCTGGTGAAATTTATAGTCAAATAAATGCCAATTAATGTTAGGATTTGTCTAACCACTGCCCTTTTGAACTGGATACTACATAGCCTATAATAGTGCTTTCCCCCCTTGGCAACCACACAACACTGTTTGTACGGAGCTTGCTGCCAACTGTAACACTGGATTTCCTCTCTGACTAGGAGGAATATGCAAAGGGAGAAGAAGATGCCGTAGGTGTCACAGTCAGATCACATCCATCCCTTCTGGAAGTTTCTATGTACCTGGCACACTCCAGGTGTAGACAAGTGCTGGAGGAGTTTGGGGATTTGCTTTTTTATGTCTCATATTTACATTCAGCATCATTCCAGCTCTCTGCTCTTTTATGGAGTCTGGTTTGGCATCTGACATAACTTCTCTCTTAATTTGCTTTTGTTTATCTGAAAGTATCCCTAGCAAACCATTAAGATGTACATCTAAATCATAAAAAAAAGAATAAGAAAAATAAAATTGAAAGTTGACGGTACCCAGAAGTTCTTGTCAACTTCTCAACTTGTCAAAGGCAATAAAAAGTAGACCTTGTGGGTCCTTTCAGAACCAGAACAGAAAAGGAAATCAAACATTCAAGGGATCAACTTAGATTCATAAAATATCAAAAACAAGAAAAAAACAAAAGCCAACAGATTAACTCTAGTTTGGTTCAAAAACAAATTGCCATTTCTTAAGTTTCTAGCCTTTCCCATATCAGACACTGGACAGCTGTATATAAAGAGCAAATCAGAGCTCTAGGTGCTGAATCACCATCCTCTATTTAAGTTTCCTCCTGCCCAGGAGTGACTCCAAGAAGGAAATGAATTCTCAGTGGGGGACCCTGCCGTTGATTAGCTTTTACCTTCCAGAGGGGATGTCAATCATGTTAATTGGAATCAATAGACAGCTGTTCAGGGGCCCAAGATAATTAAGCAAGTCATAAAGGGTAGAATTAGAGCTCCCTTTAAAAATTAAAAGGGATCCCACTGTTTGCTAACATTTTAAGCCATTTTGGCTACCTAAGATCTATTCTGATTTAAATTCGCTGATCAAAGAGCAGCCAACTATTGTGCAGGGGAAGGACAATCTCAGCTTATCCCCTGGGAAAGTCGGAAAGCCACCCTTCAGAGAGAAACTACCATGCATTCCAAAGAGGGTCTGGTAGGAGTCAGGTTGTTCTATACAAGGGGGGAGGGAGGGAGAGAGAGAGAGAAAACAAGACTGTGGGGGTGGGGGGGAGAAAGAAGGTGAGGGAGCAGGAGTGAGCTCCAGGCTCTTATCCATTTCAAGCCTGCATACTCTGGTCTCTCCTAAACCTGCAGAATCCACAATTTGTGACCCCAATGTTCCCAGAGGGCAGCACAGAGAAAACTTCACAGGACTAGGAGGAAAGAAGACACACTGATGGCAAGTTACAATAACCGGATCTCCCAGGCCCCCTTCGAGAAGATGCCCCCTGCCAGCGCACTTCACAGAAATGCATGTGCATTTTTATGTCCCCTTTAAAACTTGAAAGGGAGCCCATGTACCCCGCCCTGCGCTTGCCTGCAGACCACGAAGGCTCCTTCACCCACATGGCAACATGAAAAGAAAATGAAATTCTGTCCCAAGGCTCCTGATTTTTTTTTTCTTCCTTTTCCTGAGTCAATGAATGCCAGATGTTTTCACAAAACGTCTTCATATCTTGAGGACAGCCTGCGAGAATACTATTTATTATTTCTCGGAGGTCAAGAGGCCACAACAGATTTATAAGGCGGCTGTGGTCCCCCTTTGTGCCTCCTATACTTGGGAGATATATGTGGCCAGAGTCAGGGGCGGCTCTTCTCTCCAGCAACCTCCTTCCCTGGGGCCCATTAGCTAGGTCAGATGAGGAGCAAGGCTTGTCAAGGCCACCAAAGAGACACCAGACTTTCCCAACCATCCGGGGTACAGACGAGGGAAAATGGCCAAAGGAATAACAGCGTGAGCACCCAACAGCTGTCTGTCAATCCCCTGCGCCACGTGGGAGGCCACTTCCTAGGCTCCCCCCTAGGCAGTCCACTATTGGGCGCCGCTGTGGCCAAACCCGTGGGTTCCCGGTGGAAGGGAGGTGGGTCCCACGCAGGCCACCCCAGCGCCCTCTCCGCACTGCTGAAGGACCCGTCATCGCCTCCATCTGGTGCCTGCGAATTCAGCCCCCCTTTCCACCGCAGGGCCACCGCCCAGCCCTCTCTGATTCAAAGGACAGGCGGAAGCAGCGCAGAACTGCCACCTCCAGGGAAACGTGCTGAAAGGCGGGGACCGGGAAGGCGGCTGCGTTTGGTCGGGACGGCAAAGCGGCTCAGCGACAGGGCACAGGAGGAGCGTGTCAGAACAGGACCCGGGGTTGTCAGGGCCCAAGAAGAGGGTGGTCCTGCGAGCCACTGCTTCCTGCGCGTGTCAGTGCCCTTCGGAAAGGAGCTCCGCCGAGGAGTCGGCCTCCCGGTTCCAAAGGTCTCCGGCCAAATTATTTGGGCCCTGCTCCAGGACGCATGAAGGGTCAGTCGCCTGCGCTGGAGACAGGTGCGCCCCCCCGCCCTTTCCTCCGCAAGAGAAACACCCTGTGTCTGTGCCCCTCGCTCTTCCGTGATCAATTGAATTCAGCCACTAGATTTTCACTTTGGCTTCTCGCCTGGATTTTGAGGAACCTAAGGTTTCATCCCGTTTTCATCCTTCTCAAGAAGCAGCCTACTCTGCCGTTTTTCCATCTCCCCGACCCCAGCTGCAGTGGCGATGCGATACACTAAATGCGGAAAACACTGCCCGAGAGCAGGGTCTCCATACAGTGAGTGGTCCTCCTCCACCCCTCCTCCTTCAGTATTTCACATCTGCTTAGCTTCTAAGACTTCTAAAATTCATCTCTAGTCAACTCTGGAACTTCCCCCTACCTTCCATTCACTGAATTGCCTCTCCCCAAAAGATGTGTTGAGGTCCCCCCTCCCCCATCTGCAAACCCGACCTTAATGTTGAAAAGGGACCTCTGCAGAGGCGGTTGTATGGAGGTTAGTTATCACTGTGGCCTTTATCTAACATGACTGTTGTCTTCTCAGGAGAAACAGTGCCACATGATGCAAATAACAGAAAACAGAGGGACATAAGAAGATGGATGTGAGGACTTGAGGTGTGCAGCCACAAGCCCAGGAATGCCCAGGGCCACCAGGCTAGAAGAGGCAGGAAGGGTCCTGCCCCAGAGGCTGTGGAGGGAGCACAGCCCTGCCCACACCTGGAGTTGGGACTTCTGTCCTCCAGAACTGTGAGAGACTACACTTCTGTTGTTTTAAATCACCCAGTTTGTGGTAATTTGTTATAACTCTAGAAAATTATTATATGCCTTTAGTCCTGACCAACAGGGTCTCTTTCTCAGTCCAGCATTACTGCTAGATGGTTTCTTCTCTGATATGTCCTTTCCATGACAGCCAGAATGATCTTCCTCCAACGCAAGCCAGTCATCTGCAGTGCTGTTCAGCTTCCTATCACTATGACAAAATATGGGAGATAAATACTTTAGAAGGAGATTTACTTTGGTGCACAGTATCAGAGGTGTCAGTCCATGTGGCCTGGGTCTCTTGCTTTGGGCCTGTGGAGGGGCAGTACGTCATGGCAGGGAGCATAAGACAAAGCAAAGATGTTCACCTTGGGGCTGGGGATGTGGCTCAAGCCGTAGCGTGCTCGCCTGGCATGTGCAGGACGCTGGGTTCGATCCTCAGCACCACATAAAATAAAATAAAGATGTTGTGACCACCGAAAACTAAAAAATAAATATTAAAAAAAAATTCTCTCTCTTTCTCTCTCTCCTCTCTTAAAAAAAAAAAAAAAAAAGATGTTACCATCATGGCAGCCAGAGAGGCACACCAAGGGGCTGGAGGGGCTGGGTCCCTCCCAATACCCCCTTCAAGGTCAAGCCCCAGTGAACTACCTTCCTCCCGCTAGCCCTACTCCTACAGGTTCCACCATCTCCCAATAGCGCCACTGACTTGTGACCAAACTTTCAACACCTGCACTTTGGAGGGACATTCCAGATCCACATATGGTACTCTCCTTCTTAAAGATTTACACTTGTTTCATAATAAGGTCTAAGCTCCTTAAAATGATGACAGTCCTGCCCAATCTAGCCCCTCTCTGCCTCCCTGCTTCCTACTTCTTCCCGGGGTCCTTTAGCCTGTGGGATGATGTCTGCCAGGCACTTGGGTTCTGGATATTTGCTTCTCTTGGGCTTAGAATACTTCGTTCAACTCCTTGTTTGCCTACCTCCTACACATTATCTAGAATATGGCTCAATATTTATCTCCTTTTTAAAGTCTTCCCGACCTATGGTCCCATTTTCTGAGGATTTGATGCACACCTTTGTTATATCTCTTCCCATATTGAACAGATATCATGGAAATTCCCAGATCTTGAATTCCTTGAGATCTAAGGCTGTTCTCTAGCCCCATTCACTGACATGAGGGCTGGAAAATAGTAGGAGATTAGTGAATATTTTCACTGAGTCAGAATTATAGGTTGACAGGGTTTTCTTTTTTTGTTGAACAAACATGGATGATTGGATATCTGATAAAGTTCAGTATATTTGTTGCTGTGTTAGTCAAATTTCCATCACAGTAACAAAATGCCTGAGATAATAAGCTTATAAAGAGGAAAGGTTTATTTGAACCCATACTTCAGAAGGATCCAGTCCATGACCTAATGTCCCCATTGTTTGGAACAATAGCACTGGTTCAAAATCCCATCATGGGGGGAGTGTGTGATGGAGAAAAGCTGCTCAAGTCAGCTCTTCTTGAGGACTTCTTGGGAAGTCCTCAAGACCTGCCACTTAGGCTTTGCCTCCTACCACAGGTTGGGGACCAAGGCTTTAATACATGGTCCTTTGGTAGAGATTTAAGATTCAAACCATAGCATTGCTCAAGTGTTCAAGGAAACCGTCAGTTATGGAGAAAGAATCAGTCTAGTTAATCAACAGGATTCTCAAGGATGCCAACCATGAGCCAAGAAGCAGCCTAGGTACTGTGGCTACACTGTAAGAGAAATCACCTGCCTTCTGCAACCTTCCATTGCAGCTGGGAGGGCTGGGTAATAATCAAGTCAATAAGATCATTTCAGGTGGAGATAAGTGATAAGGAAAACAACACAGAGAAATACAACAAAGAATAACAGGTTAGGAAAGACGTCTAAGTTTTGACTTGAGTGACTACAAAGTCAAAAGAAGGATATTCAGGCAGAGATTGAGTAAGGGCTCCAATTCAGGAACATCTGGACCACTCTGAGTGGGACCAAGCAAGCCCTGAGAGGCTGCAGCACAGGGGGGAGCAGTAGGCAAGGTAAGAGGTGAAGTCAGACAAGTTTGTAGTGACCACAAGGTATCGGCCAGGTCCCAGGTGGGGATTTTATTCTAGGTACAGTGGAAACTCACGGAGCCTGGCTTGAGCAGAGAGGCCTGGCATGGTCTGGCTTATCCTTGGGAACGAGTGGCAGCCTGGAATTAGACTTCCAGGTTTCATGGACATTCAGGTAGGAGCAGCGGGGCCTTGGAGAGGTGGTGGGTGGGGTGCACAGTCTTTCTTCACAGGTAAATAGCATCATGCAGAAGGCAGCCGGAGCAGGTTCTAGAGCCCTTGCTATGAGCAGCAGGGGTCTGGCTTTTTCATACGCTCAGTGGATGAGGGGGCTCAGACTCCATTCAGAGTCTTTGTGGATTCTCGGTTGGGCAGGTTTCCCAGGAAAGCAAAGGGCAGAGTCTGAAAGATTCTTTAGTTATTGTGCCAGTTTCTGCTCCTTCTGCACTCCATTAAATATATGTGTTTATACATACTTACATCTCCATGTGCTGCCTTCCCCATCCACCTGGAGAGGCCCAGGCATAATTGATTTGTCTTTTCGACGTGTGTTATTGAGTTGAGTGATTTTGACATCACATTGCCATCAATAGAGAGGTTTGACTTACAAATTATTTAGTGCTTATAATGGATCATTGGCCACCTCCCAGACATTCATGGCTGGCAATCTCTTAAAAAAAAAAAAAAAAGATTAAATGAGGCTCACAGTGACTTCAGCACTAACTGCTGGCTTCCAGGATCTGTGCCTATTTGAGGCAGAATTCCTGCCGTTCCTACAGCTGCAGATTTCATGGTTTCTACTTTATAATCACTTTAAGAGACAAGGGAGCAGATTGGCGGAGCTGATGGTGCCCCACGGCTGACTTCACACTCCTGTGAAGGAAAAGGGTGTCCTAGCAGGGGAGGTGGCCCAGTGCCACAGAAGGAATGTGCTACCCGGAATGAGCACAACTCATGTATTCTTTCTAGATGTGCTCCCCACAAGCTGTGTGACCTTGGCAAGTCTCCTAACCTCTCTGAGCCTCAGTTTTCTCAGCTTGTAAAATAAGAAAATGGACTCAGCCTTACCTGTTGTGTTGTAAGTAAAATGGTGTCAATATTTTAAAAATATTCCTGATATAGTTCCTTTTTTCTAATAAGCAAGATGATCTTTCTCTGTCTTATCTCCTATGAAGGCCACATCAGGGTTTGGGTTTCTGAGAAAGAAAAGATCAGCTTCCACATGCAACTTAGGGAAGAGAGGAGCAGGATGTTTGGTGGGGAGTTCCCTTCAACCAGGAAGGGGCAGGCATGTTTTTCTGGACAATAGCAGAGATTTGAAGGGGGACGGGCCTTAGGGAGGGAAGTGGAGGATGGCCAGTTTCCCCTGATCCTGAGCTGAGGTCTGAGGGGTGGGTGGAGGAGACCAGCCCCAGATGCACTGGGAGGAGGCAGAGCAAGTCAGGCCCCCCCTTCCCCGCTTTCCCTTCTCTGGGAGGAGATCCCTTTGCCAAGTACCCTGGCACTCCCATGAGGCAGCTAGAGACCAGACACAGGGAATTCAGAAACAGCTTTAGGAGATGAAAAGCAGCATCTGACATTGCTCGTGAGCTTCCAGCGGGGGATGTGGAAGGTGCTGAGTCAGGGTTGGGGGTCCGTGGTATCCAGGGCAAGGATTTGAAAACCCTTAGTGGGAGCACGAGGAAAAATGTGCCAGGGCCTGGAGGGAAATGTGACCTACAGAGTGTAGCTGGGCCTGCAGCTCCAACCTGGCCACGAGGGCTGCACAAGTGTCTCTCCCTCTAGGAAAACAGAGTTACCAGGAATACGGAGCGAGGAATACTGAGCAGGTACTCCAAAGAAACTATTCAATCTTAAACACGTTACGCCAAAACCTTCATGGGGAAGGTTTGGGGGTTTTCTCCTTTCTTTATGTCAGTGAGAAACTCAAGATCTAGATGAGATCAGCTATAGAAAGTAAGACACAAACCTGGTGGCTCACCCAGGACTTAGTGAATTAAACGATGGGTCCACTTTAGAAGATATAAAGCACAGAACCTCCTACAGCATCAAGTGAGACCAGCACCAGGGCAGATATTGGGATGGTTACATTCTTGCACAAAAGGTCTTCTCCCACTGCCTCTCAAATACCTTGCCTATCAAAAGAGTTACCCATCAAATGGCATCTTTCTGTGCCTGTGACACCCACTGTATTAATGTGATGGGATAAGTTCCTGATGCACATGTATTTGCAGCCGGTTTGCATTCCAACACAAAGTCTGCTGCCTGCTTGCTGTTATGGTGGTGGTGGGACTTCTGGGAGAGGCACGAACCAGGATAATCCGGAAGATGAGCATGATTTAAAATGGAAAGATGGAGTTAGGAAGAAATTAGATCCGAAAGGTAAGGATGCAAGTCAAAGAGGAAGAAGCAGCTTGGGATACACTGGGAGGAGTATTGGAAGAAGTAGAGGAGCAGGCGACGACTACCTGACATGGGAAAGGAGGAGACAATTCAGAGACGTTTAGTTGTGTGTCATCAATGAAATCCTGCACTGCAAGTACATCTCAGGTAGAGCTGGGCTTGATGGTGCATGCTTGAAATCTCAGCGACTTGGGAGGCTGACGCAAGAAGATCACAAGTTTGAGGCAGCCTCAGCGGCAACTTAGCAAGAAAATAAAAAGGAGACATAACTCAGTGGTAGAGTGCTTGCTTAGCATGTGCAAGAACCTGGGGGTTCAGTTCCCAGTACTGGAAAAAAGCTAAGATCTGAGATAGTGCCATGGTGCCAACAGCATCCCTCAAGAGTGTCCCTCTGGATGCTGTCCTGTGGGTCTGTCTGGAACACAGCAAAGTTAATTTCTAATGCTGCTTCGTTTCTGGGTTTACCACACCTCTGTGAGAACCCCCACTAGCTCTCACTCCTTATATGAGATTGGGACAACAGGCTGGCCCAAAGGGGAAATAAGATGCCTT